AGATGAGATGGGCAGCCATAGAAACCAAATAAGTAATAGTAATATTGGTTGCTCAGAAATATGTTCACCTTCTTTAAACCTTACTTTTGCCCTTTCTTGATTCAAGCCAAGTCTGGTATTTGAAGGGATATCCTTTTTGAATTGAAGGAAGTCCCAAATTTTGTCAAGCTGGTTCTAATGGAAGAGACCTCCCTGTGACATTTGGAAAGCAGATGTCTTGGACGTACCATAATTATCCAAAGCAAAGGTCATTTTGAATTTAGTATGACCTTTTCCTGATAAGTAAAGTTAGGCAAAAATTCACTGTATTCTCAGTGAATCAAAAATAAGCCTCTTCGGCCAATCTGGTTCCCACTTTCTAGATCATTCCTGTAACAAAGGACATCTCCGTGTACCAAAAATTTCCTGAAATCATGTCCCAGGCTGAACTGCCTACATCTCAGCCATAGACTGAACAGGTAATGAAAGAATCACCTGGAAGACACCAGTCCATGTCATCCAGGGCCTTGATTGCTCAGTTCGAATTATCCTCCATGGAAGCTCTTCTCACTGTGGTAGAAAACTGCCAGTTGGGTATATTGGCTTGGTCTTCTGCAGGCTGATGGAGAGTAAAGGCCAGACCCTGCTGTGGAGTCTCAGAAAAAATCCTTGTAATCAAGACCTAAAGTTCCTGATACGTTTTAGTAATGTTTATGTTTTATTTTAAATTGTAACTGACCATTTCTGACTCTTCATTGCTGATTTGTTTAATATGTGTGCTGAGATGATGATGATGATATTTTTATCCCATCTTTTTAAAATATATAATTCAAGGTGGTGAACATACTTAATACTCCGGCCTCTAATTTTCACCACCACAACAACCCTGTGAGGTGGGTTGGGCTGAGAGAGAGTGACTAGCCCATAGTCACCCAGCCAGCTCTCATGCCTAAGGGAGGCCTACAACTCAACAGTCTCCTGGTTTCTAGGCCAGCACCTTCGCCATTACATCAGTGTTGATTTAATCTGTTTGCATAGCTAAGAAGGAGTCGTATCCATGTGCTAAAATGAACATGTACTCTAGTTATCAACCAAGATTCATGGACCATTGATGGTCCACAGAAGTCCATTCCCACCTGGACCCTCCTCACCGGTCAGTTGGCTGGAGTCTGCTTGCCATCTCAGTCTCTCTGTCCCCACCAATCAATTCCTTTGATGCCATATTGCAGCCTCTGAATGACATCTCCCTCGGTGATGCTTGTAGACTGGATTGGCAGCAGACCATTGGATTTTTCGGGTGTCCTGATCTGGATCCTGTGAGAGAGTACCGCTAACAAGGAGGGGTCAGATTGCAAAATTGTCCCCATTCCCACCTGCTTGCTTTCTGTGAAGTGGTAGACCAGTTGCTGTTTGCATGGTTTCTAGTTGTTAAAAAATAGCCACTGAGTTTGTTTCTGCTACTGTTGTTCACGGTTCATGAAAGTGAATCAGTGGCTGAAAACTAGTTCGCTGAAGCGTAGAAGTGATAATACAAGTGGAATGTGCATATTAAAATTCATAATACTGAATATGCCTTGAGTTCAGTTACATGTGACTGAAGTTCACATGTGCTGTGCAAAGTGGTACTGTGATCTTGCACAAGCAAACCTAGAAGAAATCTGTGAATAGGAAACAGAAACAATGAATATCTAAAAAGGAGATTTCATTGGGCTGGAGGTAGGAAATTTTGTCAAATGATGCCATCGCCCCATATAAGAATTATTATTATAGGGCATGGAATATATGAAGGAATTCAAATGGTAAACAAACATGTAATTTCAGATATATTTTTTTTGGTACAAAAATAATTAAAAATGGGTCTTTAAAAATGGAAAGGGGAGGAAAGTCAACACAAATGCATTTGTAACCATATCTTTCTCATGGAAAATCTTGAATTCTGATGCTCTTAGAACAAAAAATGCTGGGGGGGGGGGGGGGAGGAGTGTTTGTTTAATTGGGTGGTCCCTACATTTTTAAAATATTTATTTAGTGGTCCATAATGTTTGGGAACACTGATGCACACATTTAATGGCTCTTAAAGAGGAAAGGAAAGCTCTGGAAAGCTTTTCTTTAGGGTTAGATTCTCCTGCCTTTAGGCTGAGATTTCATAGTTGTTCTGACTCTCACAAGTGTTATGCGAGTTATCATCTCAGAAATATATAAGAAACAGGCCTTGCGGGGTTGGAGTAGGGTTAGCAGGTTTGGTCTGCAAAAATCCAGATTACTACTAATTAGTAACAAAGGGAGTTTTATGTATTTTTGGGCCTCTTCTTATGGTGATTTTGGATTTTTGTAAGTCCAAATCTGGTAGCTGTGAGTTGGAGGTGCAGTGCCTTTTCCCCAGGTTATCACACACATTTTAAAGGTAAATTCACTTGTGGGGGGAGAACCCTAATTTTCATTTCAGGAAAATGTAGTGAAACATCTACAAAATTTGTGGGTTTTCCTTGCTGGCTTTTCACACAATCATCTCTCAGAAGGAGAAGCGTGCATGCTTGTTGGGAAGGGGGTAAGGATGTAAGATCTAGGGCAGAAGGAGATGGAGAGCTTTGGTGCCTCCCATGGCTAGTTTTTCTGCCTCTTGAGCTTCCAGTGGCTGCCAGAAAGACTACTAAGGATAGAGAAGTTTGTATCTTCATCTGTGGTTTCCTGGTTTCCTGAGTTCTAGTTTGTGTGCATTTTATTCCATGGTTAGGAGATTGTAGCTGGATAGCCTCTGTGAGCTTAACAGGTTGTGCTGGCCCTGAGTGTTACACAACATGGATGTGCTTGAGTCTCACAATATCTTCCACTAAAGACAGGGAGAACTTGGAGGAGGTGCCAGTGCAGGGCACCTGAAGGGGGACAAGGGAGGTTCACTTCCCTTGAAGTGAATGGACTTGGTGTTTGCAGTCATTTCACATTGCTAGTGCTCTGCTATTTTCAACTCATCCATCCTGTCTGCCTTTTAGGGTCCCCATCAGCTTTAGCTTGCAGGATTATGGTGGGCACCCATCCCCGCCTTTCCCACCTGAGATTTATCCATGATTAGGTATCCCATCTCACGAGGAGTGCCTCTGGGCGGCGTGCCGCGGTAGTTCTCTTCCTGGTTTTGTCCACGAGGCCTCCTCCTGTCCTGGATCCATGGTGAAATGCGCAGAGGCGGGGAGAGTGAAAGGCAGGGGTAGGGGGCCAAGGCAGTGGTCTCCCATGCTCAGCGAGGAAGGGAAGGAATTGCGCTGTGACAAGTGAAGAGCCCATTCATCTCCTCCTGGAATTGCAATGCTGCGAGCGAGGCAGGGCCCTTTTGCTAATATCCTTGCAAATGCCACAGTTTTCTGCTTCTCTAGATCACTGTCCAGAACTTGTCGTCGGCCTCCGGAAGGTCTGCCAGGTTGAGCCTGCGTCTGAGCCGTGGGGAGTTCGCAAAAAGCTTCACATTTGGGAATGTCGTCAAGCAAATTGATGGCCGTGCCGGCCACCGATGAATAAATCATCTCCGCTTTCCTCATTTGCATCTCTGCGCTCCTTCCGCCTGCTCTCCCATCTCCTGCCTCTGTCTCCATCCTTCTTTCGTTTTTCTGCTGAATTACGTTATACTGCCCCATCCTGCTTGTTGCATCTGCTTTCTGCCAAGGGCAGAGGAGCTGTAATCAGGTTGGAAACTCTAGCAGAAGGGGAAGTTGGGGAGCCAAAGAGGTTTGGGTTACAGTCCGGCACTTTGTTTATCCGTCCAAACATCATGGTGGCCTGCGATAACATGGTTCAGACTAGATATACAGAATAGAACCTACACTTCCATTTTTTAAAAATGGCTTTGAAACAGAAGTGACACAAACAAGCATGATACAAAGCAGTTTGATTAGAAGCTTGGGAAGCCTGAAACAGTTTTTGCCTGGCATTGGAATATTGATAGAGCAAGAGCTAGACCAGCCTCTGGGAATAACAGTTCAAAGCTGGTGTGTCATCACTAATAGACCCTTCCCAGCCAATCTCCCCCCACCCGCCCTCAAAAAAAGATGATGGGGTACCCAGAGCAAAACCTCTCACCCCTCACCGAGAAGGCTGACCACTCAGAATATATTCCAAGCCAAAGTTATAAAGGGTCTTTTTAAAAGTGTTTTTGAATTGGACGCAGAGGCAGTGCCACAGTTTTGTAAGATCGTGCATTAGGGGTTGGTTGAAGAAAGCTGCTGTGGCTGGAATTTCTGCACTAACCATTGCTGGAATTGTTGTCCGAGGGGATGTCAATTGATTGCTTGATCCATATGTCCTGAAAGGATGTAGTTTGCAAGGAGTGAAGTGGGCTGCCTTCTACTCTTCAGTTTGGGATCAACTCCGACCTCACAGTACACTTTTAACATTCTCCCAACTTCCGTTTTCCCTAAATCTTGTGATGCCGGGCTGCTTCTAGCATTTGAGATAACAAAGCAAGCATTGTTAGCTGACTTGTTCGCGTACGTAGATAAAATATGTATTGTTTTATTAGAAGCTAGAATAATTTTGATAAAAAGTTAATTTCATTGCTTTATTGTAACAGCACAGTTTGGTTTTGGCAATTAGGATGTTGATTAAATAACAATATGTTGTCATGTGGCTAATTTTGTTTTTTAAAAATGGCTCTTTGACCAACCTTATCCTGTACGTTGATATCCAGGGAAGGTTGGAGACAGTGTTGGGGGATGAGATGGGGAAAGAAAAATCTACCCATAGCTCAAAAACATCCCACTCACCAAAGCTACAGAAAGTGGCATTCCCTTATATCTGGCCACGGTTACAAATGCCGCGTTGTAGCGGTCAAAGGCAATGGACCTTTTTGCTTATTCTCAGAGTGCCCATCTTCTTCCTTCCCCGAAGTTGCTTTTCATTTTGTGTTTTCCAGCGTCTTCTTCTCCAGATGGCTAAAACCTGATTTGCACTGAATTAACAGCAGGGTGTTGACTGTATCTCCTTCCCTCCCTTTTTCCACGAGAAATGTTTTCATCCTTAACTTGTTATCTCACCCCTGCAGAACCAGTACCGAGAGTGCCAGGAATTACTGAGCCTTTATCAGAAATATCTCTCTGAGCAGCAGGAAAAACTCACACGTTCGCTTTCGGAGCTGGAGGCTGCCAGCCAGGAAGAGCAGCAGGTAAGCGTCTCACCTGCCTCCCCATCCACAGCTTCCTTTGGATGGCTGGTCTTCGTCATCCAGTCAGGGTGGGCTCTGTGCTTGTGAGGATTAGGGCTACGCTGTCTTGAAGTCGTGACATACACTGGAGGTCTCTGTGGCTCTTTTCCTTCTTGTGGAGCTTCCTGGGAAGAACTCTCGTGAGCTGCAAGGAGGGGACATCGTCAATTGTAATGGCTTGGGAAACCACTGGGGGAGATCATCCGCCACCATGGGATGAGGTATCATCAATATGACAGATGATGCCCATTATACACCTTCATCCTGGGTGATTTAAGTGATGCTGTGGCTACCCTTTTGCGGTGCCTGGAGGCTGTGGGGGCCTGGATGGGGAACAACAGGCTTCAGCTGAACCCTGGTAAGCTGGAATAGCTGTGGGTTGGGGGCTCCTCTATATCTGGAGGTTTACCATCTTTGGTTCTGGATGGGGTGGCACTGCCCCAGCCAGACCTGGTGTGGAAATTGGGGATCCTCCTGGACTCATGATTCCTGCTTGAGGAGCAAGTGGCAGTCGTGGCCAGGAGGGCTTTTGCTCAACTGTGTGTTGTGCGCCAGTTACACCTTTTCCTGGATCGGAAAGCCCTCCGGTCAGTCACTCATGCCCTAGTCATCTCCCATATAGATTACTGCAATGCACTGTACATGGGACTACCCTTGAAGAGTATCCGGAAGCTACAGCTTGTTCAGAATGTGGCTGCACGGGCAATTTTGGGTGCCCCAAGGATGGCACATGTAACATCTTTGCTGCAGAAGCTGCATTGGGTGGTGGTTTGCTTCTGGATCCAATTCAAGGTGTTGGTTGTTATCTTTAAAGCCCTACATGGCATGGGTCCAGGCTACCTGAGGGACAGTCTCATCCCCATCGACCTGTCCCACTCAGTCAGGCAGGGAAGGTGTGCTACAGACCCCATCAATTAGGGAGTGTTGAGTAGCGGGGTCCAGGAAGAGGGCCTTCTCAGCCATTGCTCCCGCCCTGTGGAACACTCTCCCCACCTCTCCTGGCCTTCTGGAAAGGAGTGAACACCTGGCTCTGCCAGTGTGTGTGGGGCTTGAGGAGGCCTGGAGGTGGTTGGCACCTGAAGACGCTCCTGTAGGTCGATAACTTCTTATATACCACCAATTCCTTGGATTATATTATTTATTTATGAATGCTGTTTTTATTGTATTTTAAATGATTTTTTATTCTTGTTGTTGTAAATGGCCCAGAGTTGCTTTTTGAGTGAGATGGGTGGTGACTAAATTTGAAATATAAATAAATACATAAATAAATAAAATCTTGCTCCTTCCTGATTTAGTAGGGTACATGGAAAATGTCCTGATAAGGTGGCAAGCCCGTTTGGAAAAAAGGGCTTCTCCACAGTGCTGAGTCTGATTTCCTAGATGTTTTCCCCAACCTTCTGAATTCTTAATGCAGATAATATTTTGGATGACTTCCTTTACAAAATGAATGTGACAAGTACCAAATTTGTATGTTATTTGCTCACTCATACCTCCTTTTATGTATCAGTATCATATAGCAGTGTAGATATCTGGAAGGCTTGATATTCTAACCAACTGCCACTTGACGCCTTCTTCTGACCTAAGTGAAATCAGCTTGAGGATACAGTTTTCTCTGAAGATGTTTCCCCAATCACATCCTCTGCCTGCCACCTGAACAAACGAACCACTAAGCAAACTATTTTATTTTTGTCCCCATCTTTCTTTAGGGTTAGGGTTAGGGTAGGGGAAGGTAGGAGAAAGATAAGCTACATGCTTTTCTATTGGCAGCTTTTTTGAGTGGAGCCAGATTCCTCCTGGTGACTTCAGAAAGTGGTATTACATGGTGGTGACTGGAGAAAGGAGAACAGCCATGGCAGAAAGGCAAGGGAGTGAACTAGCATGGAGGGAAAGTTGTTGGCTTTCTTGCAGGCAGGGATCATGGGGGGAAGTCCCAGATGGGGAAATCTGTTCAGGAGCCCTTTTTCAACCCAAGCTCAGATTCATCTAGCACACTGTCCTTGTCTGTCTGCCCTGCACATTTTTTTCAAAGCCATCTGTGCTATGACAAAACAGTGCCCACGAGTGCTCCTGATTTTGGTTCTGACCTTAAGGCAAAACAGGGCAAGAACTTCACATAAATAGGTAAACACAGTTTCTCTGAAACTCCCAAGGCTTAGGAGACCAACCATTTTTGGTTCATCTCTGCTTGGTAGTTCTCTGGGATATGGAAGAGGCAAGATGAAATGGCCCTTGGTTCACAGTCTGATGCCTCCATTCTCAACTTCTGTCTTGGCATGAGTTTGCAAGCTTACTGGGGAAAATGGTGCCAAGATGATTTAAGACAGAGCTCTTGTGGAGTCAATAATCAGTAACTGGAACGTGGTGCTTCTTTTTTTGTGTGTGTGTCTGAGATAAAGTTAATTCCATTTGAAAAGATACTTAAGGTGACATGAATTGAATTATTCAAACCGGCTTTCTCAGCATTAACTCTGGGTTAATATCTCATGATGCCTCTGGTTTCATTACTGGAGTTTTAAGTACATAACTTTTTATAATAAATTCAATACTGAGAAGCTGGGCTGAAATTGGTTTACTTTCTAGCGAGCCATAAAAAAGCAGTATTAATTGTAAAGTGAATATTAAAGCGGTCACTGAACTTGACTCAGACAGATGTGGAAATAGCCCTTCTGATAGGGTAGGTAGAGCAACACATTTCTGCTCTGACAGTAATAGAAAATATTAAAATGTAGTTAAGGTTCTTCCATCAAGAAGAATTTTAGGCAGTCTCTCAGCTGCTCTGCAGTGACCTTTCTTGGCTCTTGTTTTGAGCACTCCTCAGACGTACAGAAAATTGACCTGGTTCCAGGTAATCGCCTCTGACCTAATTATAAAGTCCTTGCTTTGTTATCATCTCAATCAGTGGAAAGAATTCACTTGATTTGGATGAGAAATTGAGGAAATACTTTGCGACTTGGAGAAGCTGTGGGAGTGATTGTTACATTCCAGGGAGATCTTCTCTGAAGGGAGGAGAGTATTCTCAGATTGCTCCCATATGGGAGCAGGGGCAAAACGTTGACTCGGTTGCTGTTTCTTGTGAGAATCTGTGAGCGCAGCTGGTGCTGTTTTGTTTTTTGTTTTTGTTGGTACAAGATCACTGCAGTGGTAGCCCTGGTTCAGAGCATTTGGTTGACTGCTTGCAGCGAAACTGAAAGGAGGTAGAGCTAATTCCCCACCCCAACTTTTGATTTGGTTGGCAAAAATGCAACCACCTCCAAAACTGCCTGGAGAGTGATTCCTGTTAAGTCAGGACTGAGGTATAAAAAATAGTTTTCAAGTCACTATGGGAGGTGGTGTAGGCCACAGAGCTCTTCTGACCCTTTTCTGATGGTTTTGAGCCTGACTTTAATTTGTACCTTCTCAAGGTACAAAGATTGATCTCAACGACTTGAAATGTGTTTGCACCTGTTCTCTTCCTAGGTATCCTCCAGGAAAAGCTGGCACACTTTTTACTGCAATAAACTGTAGTTTAGAGCTTCTTTTCCAAGGCAGGTCATGAGACATTAAAGTCCTTTTTAAAAAGATGCCTTCATATTTTCTGAACAGATGTCATGAGAGCCTCCAGCCTGCTTGTTGTCTGAGTTACCATGCACCAGTTTCCCTCAAGTAGGGTAAGAAGATTCCAGATAATTGTCTGAAATTGAATCTTTTCTACCCTACTGACTGGATGCCAGGAAAGAGTTGGCCTCATCTGAGTACGTTCTTCTACTTGAACACCAATGCAACCTGTTTTAGTGCTGGGAAGTGCCAAGAGCTGTAGAAGAATTCAAAGTGACATATGTCAGAGCACATAACAATATAGATGGACAAGTATCTAAATGTCAGATGGAAGTACTGACTGATCAATTTGGGAGGTAGAACTGGGAAAGGAACAGGCAAGGGAAATCTATGGAAGTTCCAAAGATGTACCTTGGAAGCTCATTCTTGTAAGGAATGATTTACCTTACTCTGTCACCCGAAACAATGATTATAAATATAATTCATGCAGAATTCAGCCTTTAGAAGATTCTTAAAGTGGCAAAGTTATACAACAACAACGTAAGAGGCAAGAGTTTAAAACAGGCAAAAGATTGATAGAGGGAGTATGTATGTATGAATGTGTATGTATGTAACCGGCTGTCTGAAAGTTAGAAGTAAGAGCGCTTGCTAGATATCTTGGGTGAAGACTGTGCAGTCACAAAGTTCTCATGTCTAAGTCCCATCTAGTGTCTCTGTTACTGGCAGCAGGCAGTGTAGGACTGTAGGTGATGAATGCAGTGGGCAGGCAAGTTCCTTTGAAGGTAGCCTTTCAATATATAAATTAGCCTTCCGAGCATTCATCATTTGGAATAGCAGCTTTATAAATTATACACATGTGTGGGTTTTGTGAATTTATGGCTCAACCATTTCTCTCCAAGCTTCATCTTAGGATCAAAAGGAATAACAAATAGGATTGTTTTGTGGTAGGTGATACTATGTAAGAGGGGTGGGGTACTGACATCTCATGTGGTCTGCCAATTTTAGCTGGGCTGTGAGAAGTGTTCCCATATATGCTTTCTGCAGAGAGCTTAGAGACCCACTGGGTTGGCAAGTAGAGAATTGGTCTAAGAAGGCTAGATCCTGTCCCCGCTTATAGGATTTGCAATATTACTAAGCTGATACTCACCCATCATTTGTAAGGCTCAGGCTTTATGTCAAAAACTGGTGGTTCAGGGGCTCTGAAGTCCTCTCTGTGAATTTTATAAAGTTCATAATGAGGACTTCCAATCAGCTCCTAGGGCTGAGTGGTGAAATGTTACCTAAAACAAAGTCCAAATGCATGGTTTCTTCTGTATTTTGGCCAGAGAGCCTTACTCCTGATGCAGAGGAAGTACATATGTGTCATGCTTTGTCTCCTTTCATTGATTTTTCTTGGTATTTGGGGGTACATCATGTTTACCTGTGAT